TGCTGCTGCTACTGCCGCTGGTAGTGCTGCCGCTATACGGCTATACTGGCTGCTGCTATACTGCTACTGCTACTCCCACTACTACTACTACTACTACTACTACTACTACGACTACTACGACTACTACTACTACGACGACGACGACAACAACTACTACTACGACTGCTACGACGACGACGACGACTACTACGACGACGACGAACTACTACTACTACTACTACTACTACTACTACGACTACTACTACTACTACTACTACTACTACTACTGGTACTAGTCCTAGTTGTGGTGCTAGTACTCGAACTCGTACTACCACTACCACTACCACCACTACTACTGCTTCCTCCGGTCTCCTCCTCCTCCTCCCCCTGCTACTGCACTTTCTGCTGCTACTGCTGGTTCCATCACTTCTACTTCTACTGCTGCCAGTGCTGCTTCTGCTGCTGCTCCCTTTTATCGTCACAGCTCGACGTCCGAACATGGCAAAAAACATCATCATACCCAGTACTGGTCCCAACCATGAGCAGGACATTCAACGAGGTGGGCTCGGAATAATAGTAGCAGCATCAAGCGCAGAGTTCAAACGTGCGCGGGTTTTAGGTCAAGTTCACAGCTGATCGGCATATCTTAACCACTCAAGCACAAAACAGGATTCCCTGGAATGAAGCCCGAAGGTCTAGCAGCAGAGCCGTTCCACAAGTTACCGATGAAGGCACTTCAATTCCGATTCTTTTCTACGAAGGCGAAAGACCGAACCGTGGCTGAGGCACTGTGCGCCCCGCCCCGCGTCATTGTGGGGCCCCGACGCATTCGGCCAGCAGCGGGGCTGCTGCAAAAGTTCCGAGGCGGTCGAAGGGGAGCCCAGCCCTGGGAGTTTCGGGTCCGATCACAGAGCACGGTACAGCATTGCACAAAAGGAAAACATACTGAACACTCGGGTGTGGAATTCACGCTCTGTAGAGGGGTGTTTTCGTCCAGCGAAGATTTCAACGCAAGCTTACCCAAGCCTTGACATCTGGCAATAGCACCACCATCCCCGCCCGGAACACCAACACCGAACCCCAATTCGTGCCAGCATCATCCTTATCTCCTGCTTCAACAAACCTGAGACACATGCGGGTACTCAACAGTCCAATCAAGTTTTCTGTCTGTTCCTCTGGCTAGGACATCATCAGCCGTTCGGCTTCTTGCAACCCTCGGCTCTCACAGACACATCTTACAGTTACATAACCTCCTTGGCGCGGCAGGGAGTTGCGAGAAGCCCTGTGGCCAGCGCGAGCTTTGGTAGGCACACGGTGCCTCTTTCCGAAGGCCGGGCTGCGTGTGATCGGGACCCGTCTTAGTCTGGGGTTGGGGCTTCTAAGTTAGAGCTTTATATCAAAGTATACATACGAGAATATAATGCGGGCAACATATTAGAGCTACAGTCTGACAGGAAAGCAGCTTTCCGAATTCTTCTGATGTGTGCAGTCCGATCCTGACAGTCCGGCAGCAGTCGGAATTTAAAAAATACCAGTAAACGACCTCTACACGAGGTGCCCTAGCTTATGAACTTCCAGAACAGGAAACCATAACCTTATCACTGTCATCCGTAACAACCGTGGGACATCAGGGGAACATACAAACAAGCTTGAAGTGCACCAAGCCAAAAGCCGACAGTGTAGTCTCTTACCATACCAGCAGCTGATCGGTCTGGAGAACACGCCTTGGTGGTTCTCGACCAGTGGCGTGACAGGCTCAAGCCAGCTCACTCTCGAGTAACGCCAGCTTGTTGGAGGGCCGTGTTCCACAGCCTGGATGAAGCAGAACACTTCATGAGGAAAGGAACAAAGTCGCTTCCCAATTCCTCCCTTTCCTGTTGATGTCGAGGGGCTGCTCGGTCAAGCCGGGCTGTGTGAAAGCCATACATCGGATGTAGTTCTCCTGGCTGACTTCCGAGCATGTCCAGGGGCCGGATCTTAAACCCTTAATGGGAGATGAGGGGGTGGAGTGCCTTTGCCCCTTTAGCATGGCAGAGCTTCTGCTTAGGTTTCAATGTGTGCCCCTTGCAGTTGTCACTAGCAGGTCTCAACGCAACACCCGACACTCGAAATATATTCGGAAGGTGCATGGTGCGTGGTTGAGCAGATATGTTCGTCGATGTGTTTTTTTTGTTTCTCGCTCTCTCTCTCTCTCTCTCTCTGTGTAACATCCGTCCAAAAGAAACGACTTGAATCTCGCTCATCATCGTGCAAGCATGCGCAGGGCATGTGGCTCCGCAGCTCCCCAGAGGGCCGCACCCGATAGTACCCAGCCCCAAGCAAACAAAAAGTAGACAGTCTTTGGGAGAAAATGTTTGCGGCAGGGAAGCTTCGTCTCTGCTGCGTGAGAAACCTAGCAAGTCTGAGGCCATACCGTGCTCTTGCTTCGAAGCCCGTACAATCGAGAATGCGTCAGACAACAATTAAACCTCTCCCCACAAAAGCCCGAAGGTATACCATGAGATTGTCATCCGGAACGAGTCACACCAACCATCTTCGAATACGTCAACTATCGGAAAACAAGCCTGTAAAACCATTTCGTTAGGTATGCAATATCAGCAAAACAGCCCCCCAGTACCTAGAACTAGAATTAGAATGCATAACACAACGCTGATGGGATCTGCCTGTGCTTATGTTGAAACTCCAAAGAATCAAAAACAAAGGTCCCTGAGTGCGTGCTCGGCTCCGGCTTTTCGGCCGATCGGAATGGCAGAATTTCTGGTTCCATCCGGCCTGCTTTTGGGGTTTCGTCTCTCACAAGGTTTGGGGTTTAGGATTTTGCTGTTGTTCTACAGTCCCTTTTGCACTCACCACTGCTGGATCACTGAAAGACCTGGTTAAGCCGGGCACCTTGGTTAACAGAGGGTTTAGGGTTTAGAGTTTCGCGCCCCAGGTTCAGCTACTTTGAGATCTAAATAGGTGTTGATAATCGCCCTGCTCTGACAAGGTCCTGCGAAGGACATGCAAGAGATGGAATGTGGGAGTATTAGAAACAAGTGCGGGGCCCTGATAGTTATCAACCTCAAATCACAATGTAAGGACCCGTGCATAAGGGACCAATTTCAAGAAACCCCATGTGGCTTCTGGCTTCTGTTGCCCAGCCTGATTTCTGCGCATGGAGGCGAACGACTGCACCCTTGTTGTCTCCAAAATCGCAATAACGGGGTGCGGAGAACACCTTAGGAATTTTGCGTCGCACGCTCGCTCAAGGCAGGCATCCCTTCTGAATTTCGGGTTCTAGGCCTTATAAAGATTGATTGGCAGAAGGGGAGGAGAAAGGAATCCAAACTGCATGCTTCTACTGTCCTTGCACTGTTGTTCTTTAAAAGTCTCGTCACCCTACATGAACCCATGGTAGCTCTCGAGGATTTCGGCCCTGTAGGATTCCGATCTACGCCCTGCTCGTCTCTGCAAGGTAAGACACCGTTAGGCAGCGCTTGCCATGTTGCCACTCGTAGCCCTGCTCCTGGGGATGGAGACTTGGAAGATCGGCGCTCTCGGTCCCCAATGCTAAAAGGTGTCATATGTGACTCAAGTCATACCCTGGCCAGGTGAAACTCTGGGCTAGGCTGACAACAGCAGGCATCGCTTCTTTCGTAGCAAACCGGTGTCCCAGTGTCGCCTGATGCTTTCAGCAACGAATGCGACCTCGGCCATGGTATGCGATCGATGTCAATCCGAATCTTGACTGCGTTTGTCTGCAAGAACTATACTATGACGAACTGCGGGGTATAGCGTACGAGCTTGGTGGTTCGGCTGGGGTCCTAAGGCCTAAGTGCCGAAGGCAGAGCTACGTGCGGGGCCGGGCTCCTTGACCTCGTGGGATCGAATCATGAAGCTCAAGCTGTTCCTGGCCAGGACTGAAAAAACGGTGTCAGGCTTTTTGTATCACCTACTTGTTTTCCGGGTCATGTCCCGCACCTTGAGCCAAGAATGTAGCCCATGAAACTACAAAGTCTAAAGCTGGAAGGAGGCACGGAAGCCCGAGAGGAGAAGGACGCAGTGAGGCATCTTCGGGGTCCTTTCCAGAAAGCGCTGCGTGACATCTTCCCCGAAGACGATGGTGGTCGGACCTGGATCGGTGTTTCAACCCTTGCAAATGTTCACCGGGCCTGAGGGCGTATGGTCAACAAGCAGAGGATAGCTGGTTTGTCACGACGGGCCAACAAGAACTCTGCCAGAGTAACAGGTTGCACAAATGCACACGCTTGCTGCTGCAAGTTGCCTGCTGCGTCGTCCCAAGGCTTGCGTTAAGTCAAATTCCTGGTCTTTTCCTGTGCTGGGGTCGGTGGGCTGGCCATGAAGCGAGTACCTAAAAACCGCTTTCACGGTCCTCGATTACCTTGACCCCTAGACAGTATCCCAGCTTGAGCTCCTGACCGCGGTCGCCAGTGCTGACTCCCTGCACACGCTTTAGCGCACCGGTGTTTACTGGTATTGTTGTGACCAAACAGATCGTGGGAGAATTCACAGGGATCGAGAATATGGGTGCATCTTGCATTTTCTCGAATCTCCTGAACCCCAGATCTCAGGCCACCATGTGATGCAAGTTGTGATGCAAGTTAATGATGGTGGCATCAGGTTTTCACGACCGTCTAATCTCGTCTGTAGCTAGTAACATCCTGAAAATCTGATGCCAGTCCTTGCCTATATCCAGTGTCGCCTACGTGTTCAGCTCTTACCGTCACATATGCTCGGGCCTCAGGACGCGGTGTGACATATGGGAATCCTGCTTGCCACAGCATTGACACAGCTTCAGGTGGCCGCGCATGTAGACCATGCTTGCTTTTGCCCCTCCCTGTGCATTGAAACACTAGATCCAAGGCAGCTGCTGGATGCCAGTTGCAGCCTTCTGGTAAAAACTTCGTCGTACAGCCAGACCAGTTTGGGAGGAAACTTCAAACCATGCCAGGGCATTGATTTGGCCTATTTCTGCACCACATCGACGCCGCCCCGGCGTGCCTCAATGTCACGGGGATCCGCCCACCTCGTCCCAGGCGGGCTTGGAGTTTGGCAGCAGTGGGTGCATTTGTGGTGCGAACGGGCATGTGGCTTCGGCATGCAACGGAGAAGGATCTTGTAGTGTATGGGGAGTGGGGGGGGGTTGTGAGAAGTCAGACGATCTGCGTACTCTCACCTCGTGTGCTGGACATGTCGCTGTAAAAGCTAGGGCGCATCCATGAAAGCAGCATTATCGAGCCATGAAGCCCTACCACCATGATTATTACGTCTTTACTTCCGCACTGACCGAAAGACCCGCATCTCTTTCCGTGAGTGTGCCAGCTGTTCTTCCCTTGTTGATGGCCGCACTACCAAACCGTGTAATGTACTGAAGCCCCATGGTTGTTTCGAGTTTGTCTGGATTGCCAAACTTGGCGTCCGACTTCCCGTCTGGTGGACCGTAAGACTTAATTTGCAACAAATTCTCGTGCAGTAAACTGACAAGCCTACACACCATGCAAGCAAGAACTGAAGAGGATGTCCAGACATACCTGCTGCGCACATGTTCCACAAGTTCAACAGGGGCTCATTCCAACTCCAGTGAGTTTCAGACTATCAAGACCGTTCCATTCTAGTCCCATGAGTAGACTAGTTCAAGGAGCAGAATCCTGAACTTCATTACATGTTATGTGTGCTTTGACAATTCCAGCTCGCACTATCAGGGCACATTCCAAAGCTGTATTGGTATTGAGGCTCGTTCAGACCACTGCATGCGAACCCCTTTTATGTGAAACCCGAGGGTAGCCTGAATGTCTCATCTCCTCGGGGCTCTCTTGCCTTGTACCTTCAATCCCGACACATCACTCTCAAACCAGCCAGGAGACATGAGGTCGCTCATCAAGTTGTAGTCTTTGTGCATCTTTCGCTCTTCCAGGCTGCGGGTGATCTGACACAAAGACAAATTGAGCCGAGCCCCCGCCCTCAGAAAGAGCCAACACCCGTGCGACAATGGATGCATTCCAATGCACTAGCCGGCAGTAGTAGCAGAAGTAGTAGCCGTCGTCGTAGCAATAGCAGTAGCAGTAGCAGCCACAGCAGTGGCAGTAGCAGTAGCAATAGCTGTAGCTGTAGCTGTAGCTGTAGCGGCGGCAGTAGCAGTAGCAGTAGCAGTAGCAGTAGCAGTAGCAGTAGCAGTAGCAGTAGCAGTAGCAGCGGCACTAGCAGTAGCAGTAGCAGTAG